TCAGAGGCTCGTTCACCTGCACATCCACCAATGTGATATATGCCATCATGTGCCAGCAATGCCCCTCTGCCATGTACATTGGCCAAACTGGACAGTCTCTACGTAAAAGAATAAATGGACACAAATCAGATGTCAAGAATTAGAACATTCATAAACCAGTCGGAGAACATTTCAAACTCTCTGGTCACGCGATTACAGACATGAAAGTTGCGATATTACAACAAAAAAACTTCAAATCCAGACTCCAGTGAGAGACTGCTGAATTGGAATTCATTTGCAAATTGGATACAATTAACTTAGGCTTGAATAGAGACTGGGAGTGGCGAAGTCATTATGCAAGGTAACCTATTTCCCCTTGTTTTTTTCTACCCCTCCACCCCACCCCCCAGACGTTCTTGTTAAACCCTGGATTTGTGCTGGAAATGGTCCACCTTGATTATCATACACATTGTAAGGAGAGTGGTCACTTTAGATAAGCTATTACCAGCAGGACAGTGGGGTGGGGGAAGGTATTTTTTCATTCTTTGTGTGTATAAGAAGATCTTCTACACTTTCCACAGTATGCATCTGATGAAGTGAGCTGTAGCTCACGAAAGCTTATGCTCAAATAAATTGGTAAGTCTCTAAGATGCCACAAGTACTCCTTTTCTTCCTGTTAGTTTCCAGACATATATACTTTTGCTTCCTTCTCTCAAACACTGCACCTCAGGAAAATGTAACTTTTGCCTAATGACCGGGAAGTAGTAATGTTAATCTCCAGCTTTGACTACTGAAGTTATTAATGATCATTCCCCTGTATTCGGCACTGGTGAGGCCTCATCTGGAGTACTGTGTCCAGTTTTGGGCCCCACGCTACAAGAAGGATGTGGAAAAATTGGAGAGAGTTCAGCGGAGGGCAACAAAAATTATTAGGGGGCTGGAGCACATGACTTATGAGGAGAGGCTGAGGGAACTGGGATTATTTAGTCTGCAGAAGAGAAAAATGAGGATGGATTTGCTAGCTGCTTTCAGCTGAAAGGGGGGTTCCAAAGAGGATGGATCTAGACTGTTCAGTGATACCAGATGATAGAACAAGGAGTAATGGTCTCACGTTGCAGTGGGGGAGGTTTAGGTTGGATATCAGGAAAAACTTTCACAAGGAGAGTGGTGAAGCACTGGAATGCGTTACCTAGGGAGGTGGTGGAATCTCCTTCCTTAGAGGTTTTTAAGGTCAGGCTTGACAAAGCCCTGGCTGGGATGATTTAGTTGGGGTTGGTACTGCTTTGAACAGGGGGTTGGACTAGATGACCTCCTGAGGTCCCTTCCAACCCTGATATTCTATGATTCTATGATCATCAAACTGGCCCCAACTGTTGAATCCAAGACTGGCCTCTGAAATACACAGAGGATTTAAAGAAATACAAACTTTTCCTTTATTTTCATTACAGTGTGAATGCAGAACTTTTAGAAGTCAATAAGTACAACTTGGAGAAGGCCTAAAGCAGGAGGTGCCAGCTTGTCTCTACAAGAGAGCAACTGCGGGTGCACTAGCTTCTTGCCAGTATAGGTAAAGGTCTGGTTAAAACGTTTAACAAAAAACGTTAATAGAAGTGCTCTCTTCTGAAAAAAAGAGTGTGTGAGCTTTTGTCTTGATTTAAAATATTCACTTGCAATGTTTGCGACCCAAAAACCTCAGCCCTGTATTAATGCCCAAGAACCAGAAGAGAATGACTAGACTATTTTCACTGCCCCAAACTGAGAGAAATGCTAAGAAAAAAAAAGCATTAATGATACCGGCTACATTCTTTATATACAATACTCAGCTTAAACACAGTTATACACTGAAAAGTGACTACAGATGGCATCAGGGATTCAATATCGATTACTCCATAACAAATATGCTCAATTTACAAGTTTCCAACTGCCAACTCTGCAAATTCAACCTAGGAAAGTCAAGTTGTGTTCTTCGTAGCTCCTGTATGCACCATCACAAGAAATGAAGATACTGCACTCAGAACTTAACAGGTCTGTTGACGATTCTAGATCGTGAATCCACTCCAGCTGCCCATTTCGCAGCTGAGATGACTTAGGAAAAAAACTTTTTTTAAAAACAAGTAGCTATTACTATTTACATCACTTTTCTGACCATACCACACTTTAAAATACTATTTTAAACTGGTTAAAGCTAACTAAACAATGACCAGTGTGGACTGAACTTAACCATGTGAAAAACAATATGAGAACAGTGTTCCAGTGTTGTACCTAGGTTAGAACAGTTCTGAACTGTGCTTAAACAGTTTGGCCCTGTTCCCCCACTGATTAGCCAAACCCTGTTTGAAGAAACAGTTGGCCTGAACAATTTAAAAGCTTTTTCAAGGTAAATATCAATTGAATCACCCCACTGACTAGCCCAAACCTTAGTTGGGCACTCTCAGCAATTACACCAGCCCATTACAGTCCTGCAGACCAGACTAAGAAGAGAGCATGTCTCTAGCGAAAGTACTGCCTCGTGTAATTCGTTGTGTATATTACTCCTTGAGGAACTCTGCACCACTGCACACTTGCAAGTAAATCTGTGTGGAACATGAATTCTGCTTCCCTACAGAAAAATGACTTCTGACAGTGAAGCAAAGGGAGCCAGCAAGAGCGGTCATGCACCACTCCCAAGAAGCATGGGTGCATCATTTTGGGTGCCTGGAGCAGACCAGCAGACAGGTAAATCACCGCAGTGGGGGTGGGGCTGGGGAAGCCCCGGACAGTGGCTCCTCTCTGTGCTGGGCTCATTTGCTAGTCCCAGATGGGCTGACAAGAATAGGACTTCCTCTTTCCCTGTAAAGAGCAGGTCAGACCTATGCCCAGAAACCAACCCCAGCTGCGGGAAGCTTTGCACTCCCCTCCGCTCCCTGTCCCCATCACTCCTCAGCTGCAGGGGGAGGGGACACTGTATGGGGAATGGTTCCCCCATCTGGCCAACCCCTCTGCATCCAGACCGCACTGACCTCCACACCTAGCCTCATCTCCCTGCATGCAGAGCCCACCCCACCGAGCCCCCAGCACTCAAACCCCTACTCCACCGAGCCTCACCCCCTGCATCTGGAGCCTCCCCACACCCAGACTGCTCCACACAGAACCCTCTTACCCCACACCTGGATCCCCCACACACACACTAAGCCCCTCCACACTTGGATCCTACCAGGCTGAGCCTGTCGGTCCCACACCTGGATCGGGGGACAAGGCTGGGTGTGCGTGCAAGACTCTGACCCTCTTGCTTGCTATCTAGATGCACCTGGCATGGAGGGGAAGGGCTCCATGGTGTTTCTGGGGCAGGCCTGGCCCTTGCACTGTGTCAGGGTTGGTGTAAGCCTCACCGCCAAGTCTTTGTCCTGTAGGGCTGAGGGGAGTGCTGCAGGATGGTCTCCCTATATGCAGCCAGTAGCCTGTGCGCCCCACTGCCGTGTTTGAGCCTTCATATTTATTTATTGTGAAATAAAATACGCAAATTTTGCAAAATTTTAAAATATTGTGCGCAGAATTCCCTCAGGAGTAGGATATATATTGTGGGCCACGTGATTCACAGTCTTTGTACACAGTCTGGCCAGTATTCTAAAACCTAGGAGGCTAATTTTAGGCTCCTAAAACCATATTTAGGCACCTAAATAAGTGGCCTGATTTTCAAGAGTGCTGAGCACCTAATAGCATGAACTCACTTCACTGGGAAGTGCTAGATGCTTAGCACAACTGCAAATGTAGTTGCTTAAATATGGACTTAGAGGCTAAATTTAGCCTCCTTGTTTGAATATCTTGGCCTGTGTGTGTGTATATATATATGTGTAGCGTGCCATGAGTATGCACACTATACGTAGGGATGCACTGGGAACTATGGGCTGCAGGGCATGTGTAAACCTATGCACTGTACAATATATTTTCACAGTACTCTGTGTATGTATGCTGTAGTAGTCTGCATTTTGAGGTGAATGTATTGCAAGAGAACATCACCTAGTTCCTCACACCAGACTCCCATGCAATAGCAAAATAAACCACTATATGCTCAGCTTCACAGAAGCAAACAGAAGCGAGCTTAAGATCCAGTTCATCATGCCTTGGACACTGCAGGTTTGATCCCTACAAAGTGTCTAGTGCATGTCCACCTGTAGAATTAGTGTGTGTGTAGGAAAGTATCAACCTGCTCCTCTCCCCACAGTACCCGGGCCACCCCACAGGTCCCTGTTCCCACACCCCATCCCTGTAGTAGTTACCCCCTCCCCACCCAGGGGAGCCAGGCCAGCCCACTCTGGGTCCCTGTAGTAGTCCCCCAGTAAGTCACTTCTCCCCCACCCCAGTAGCTGGGCTGCCCCCCACCCCCCTGTGCCCAAGCCACTGGCCCAAGCAAAAGCTGTCCCCCATCCTTGCAGTAGCCGTGTCATCTCCCCAGTCTCTGTATCCCCAAGAAGAAAAGGAGGACTTGTGGCACCTTAGAGACTAACCAATTTATTTGAGCATGAGCTTTCGTGAGCGACAGACATACATCTGATGAAGTGAGCTGTCGCTCACGAAAGCTCATGCTCAAATAAATTGGTTAGTCTCTAAGGTGCCACAAATACTCCTTTTCTTTTTGCGAATACAGACTAACACGGCTGTTCCTCTGAAACCTGTATCCCCAAGGAAGCCCCCCCAGGACACAGGCCCCCCATCCCTGTAATAGCCAGGCTACGCCCAGCCATCCCCCAGTCCCTGTCGTAGCCGGACCACCCCGCAGTCCCCATGTACCCCCTCAGGGTAGCCCCCCCATTACCTGTAGTACCCAGGCCCCTCCCAGCTACACCCCCGGCATCTGTAGTAGCCACCCCCCAATAGGTCCCCCATCCCTATAGTAGCCGCCCCTCCGGGCGTAGCCGCCCAGTCCCTGTAGTAGCCTGACCCCCCAGGGAGCCCCCCCATACCTACAGAAGTTGGACCACCCCCCGCTCCCCATGCACCCCCCAGGACAGCACCCCCAGACAGGCCCCCGGGCCCCCCGGTACCTGTAGTAGCTGAGCAGCCCGTTGCTGAGCACGAACCAGCGGCGCTGGTAGCCCTTCAGGTAGTTGGTCCATTTGAAGAGCCAGCCCTTGTAGGTGTCGGGGCCGGGGGCGGCCGGGGCCCCCAGCCCGGCCCCGCCGCCCCTGCCCGGCTCGCTGCCCGCGCTCATGGCCGGCGCGGCGGGGCGGCCGGGGCCCGGCGGGTTCCCGCAGGCCAGGCAGGGGACGGCGCCGAGGATGGAGACCAGCCCGCGGGAGCCGCCGCTGCACCGAGCGGCCGCCCGCCCCACAGGCCCGGCCCCGCGCCTCCGCCCCGCCCCGCCCGGCCGCCGGGGGCACCGGCGAGGGCAGGGGGCGGGGCGCCGCGCTCACGTGACCGGGCAGCGGCGGCCCCGCCCCCGACGCGTGAGCGTGGCGGGCGGGGCTCGAGCTCCGCGGGGCTCCCCGGCAGAGGGGCGGGGCCGGGACCGAGCGGGGCGGGGCTAGCAACCGCACGTGCGGGCTGGGCGGCCCCTCGAGGGGGGGGTAGGGTGGCGTGGGACAGGGCTCCCCAAAGGTGGGGCGGGGCCATGCCGCAGGGGGCGGGGCGCCTCAGGGGAGAGAGGGGCGGGGCCTGTCTCGAGCAGAGCTGGCGCGGGGGCGTGCCTGCTCTGGGGCCTTGTTTTCCTGCCCGCCGTCCCTGGCTGCCCCGGCAGGGGGCGTGGGCTCTGGGAGGGCGTTCGGGTTCGGGTTCGGGTTCGGGTTCGGGTTCGGGTTCGGGAGGGGCAGGGGCTGGGGCTGGGGCTGGGGCTGGGGCGAGGGCTCGGGGCAGCGCTTAGCTCCGGTGGCTCCCAGAAGCGGGGACACGTCCCTCTGGCTCTTAGGCAGAGGGGCCAGGCTGCTCTGCGCATGCTGCCCCCGTCTGCAGGCGCTGCCCCCACGGCTCCCGTGGGCTGCGATTCCTGGTCAGTGGGAGCTGGCACTCGGGGTGGGGGCAGCGTGCTGAGCCCCCCGGCCGCCCCTGCACCTGGGAGCCAGAAGGACATGCCTGCCGCTTCCAGGAGCTGCACGTAGCCAGCCACTGCGGCCAGTGGGACTTTTAGCGGCCCGATCAGCTCTGCTGCTGCCAGAGCCCCTTTTCCACCAGGCATTCTCTGCTGCCTGCCCACCCAGCCCTGCTGCCCATGGGGCCTGTGCCATACAAGGCCTGCCAAAGGTCTGACCTTGCCGTGCTGGATGGTGACCCGTCCCTCTTCAGATAGCCCTTTCTCAGGGTGGGCCTGTACGAGTGCCTGCCTGTCTCTATACCCCCATCCCTTCTCCTGGCACCCGCCAATAGGCCCTGGCTGCATTAGAAAAATGTGCCCTGGTGTAACTACATCAGTGTCCATCTAACCTGGTGCCCTGACCTGGACCTGCTGCCTCAGGGGAAGGGGCAAGAAAACCTGTAGTGGAAAGTTATATCACCCAGTAGTGCTAGCCCCACACAATCAGAAACCATGAGTGAGGCTTCAAAAAAATAATAACATTGGCTTTAAAGTCAGGTAATTTTTAAAAAATAATCAACATGGGGTTCTGGTTCTTTGCCTTCTAGGTTTTGGACATTTAAGGTGCACTGGGGTCATCTTTTCATGCTTTTCTCTGCAACCACAGGGTCTAGAAATTGACTCCTGTTTTAAAATGAAAGCTGAGACTCACATATAATCACTTAACTCAGAAGATTGCCTTAACAACCACAAAACTTTAAAAATAATATTATATTTTAATAATACATTTTATGTTCGCTTCTGGCTTCTGAGGCATTAGGGTTCATGTGTCAAGCCTTAATCTGCAGCTAGGAGGGCTAGAAACTTACATACCCATACCTAGATTCCCATGTAATCATGTGACTCCAGGAGCTGGGGCTTCAAGAAACACATAAATGGACAATGATTAAATTACAAGAGTTGTCTCCACTGAGCGTTTACAATAACTTGGTGCTTAACATCCATCACCTTCAGTAACATGCCCCAGCTTCACAGTGTAGAACACAGTCTCTCATTTTTCCACCTTTGTTTCCCTCGCTTTATAATTTTTCTTTAAAATTAAAAATGTATTAAAAATATGGCAAGAAAATGCACATACATAATTTTTTCCAGTAACATCTATATCTAAGCAAGGATGGCACTATACGCATATCATAATATCAAACGGATATAAAGCCATCTATAGGGAGTAAGGCTATGTGTCTTATTGTGCCCCATTTCCTTTCAAACTTGTCCAAGTTCGGTGTTGCTAAGACTTATTGTATTATATTTACCCCGGTCAGTCTGAGCCAGGCAGTCCATTACAGTCCTGATGGATTTACCCATGCAGTTGATCCTTTGGTATCCATACCACTTCAGCACCTACAATAGATTAATTAATTTATCCTCAAAATGCTCCTGTGAGTCAGGGAAGTATTATTATCCCATATAACAGATGGGGAAACTGAGACATAGAGGTATTTTTTTAAGGCCCAGGTTTTGAAAGGTATTTAGGCATCTAAAGATGCAGACAAATGTCCAGTGGGATTTTTGAAATTGCCTAGGCACCTAGCCCCTGTTGAACACACCTGCCAAGTTTTCCCAAGCTACCGGTGGACTCCCAACCCGTATCTAAAGCCTTCATTCCCAGTAGTAGAGGGAAACGGGAGGGTTGACATTTTGGTCAGTAATTAAAAACCAAAACAAACAAAAACACCATGGGTGCTTGTAACAGCAGCCAATGGAGTCAGTAGAAACCGACCCTGATCATGTGATGGGGTGTAAGCTTTGGTTATCTTGACCCAGGTGAGGTCATAGGACTGAGGCCAGGAAATACCAATCAATCTCAGAGCTGTTCTTCAGGCCTGGTTTTCAGAAGTGCTCAGCACACACAACTCCAAATGAAACCAGTGGGACGATACCAATGCTCAGCCTTGGAAAATTAGGCTTATGGCCTTTTCCAGTCCCTAGGGCTGCTATGCAGCATTTAGACAATCCAGATAAATGCACTTACTAATGTATGTGAGGAAACTCACCAGTACCAGCACCCTGCACCATGGCACTGCCCTGAAATCTGCAGTGTGACACATAGCCCTTCTCTTCAGCAGTTCTGCGGAAAAGGACCTAGGGGTGACAGTGGACGAGAAGCTGGATATAAGTCAGCAGTGTGCCCTTGTTGCCAAGAAGGCCAATGGCATTTTGGGATGTATAAGTAGGGGCATAGCGAGCAGATCGAGGGACGTGATCGTTCCCCTCTATTCGACATTGGTGAGGCCTCATCTGGAGTACTGTGTCCAGTTTTGGGCCCCACACTTCAAGAAGGATGTGGATAAATTGGAGAGAGTCCAGCGAAGGGCAACAAAAATGATTAGGGGTCTGGAACACATGAGTTATGAGGAGAGGCTGAGGGAGCTGGGATTGTTTAGCCTGCAGAAGAGAAGAATGAGGGGGGATTTGATAGCTGCTTTCAACTACCTGAAAGGGGGTTCCCAAGAGGATGGCTCTAGACTGTTCTCAGTGGTAGCAGATGACAGAACGAGGAGTAATGGTCTCAAGTTGCAGTGGGGGAGGTTTAGATTGGATATTAGGAAAAACTTTTTCACTAAGAGGGTGGTGAAACACTGGAATGTGTTACCTAGGGAGGTGGTAGAATCTCCTTCCTTAGAGGTTTTTAAGGTCAGGCTTGACAAAGCCCTGGCTGGGATGATTTAACTGGGAATTGGTCCTGCTTCGAGCAGGGGGTTGGACTAGATGACCTTCTGGGGTCCCTTCCAACCCTGATATTCTATGATTCTATGATTCTTGTCCCTCTGGCTCCTGATCTGTGAGAGACTCACAGCTCACGTGGCTGGGGCGATTTTCCTGCATGTCATGGAGAGAGCCACAGCAGCGGGCAACCGACATGCCAGCACAGCCCTTCCTTCTCAGCCCTTTCCATAGCTGGTGAGACACTCTTGGAAGGGAAGGAAAAGAAAACCACCTCTTCGTGCACTTTGCCACATGTGGCTGTCCCCAGGGTGTAGGAGCTTTGTAATACAGACCAGAAAGGGAGGAAGGAGAAGCCAAATACTCAGGTCTGTCTTGTGGAGCTAAGGTGGGAGGAGGTAAATGTAGAGGCAATGTGGCCTAGTGGATAGGGCAATGGACTGGGACTCAGGAGACCTGGTTTCAACTGCCAGCTCTGCCACTTCTTTGCTGGGTGACCTTGGTCAAATCATGGCCCACTCTGTGCCCCAGTTTCCCCATCTGTAAAATGGGGATACAGACCTGCTTTGTAAAGTGATTTGAGATCTATGGATGAAAAATGCTATGTAAGAGGTAGATATTGTTATTACTAACCAAGGTGGATGGGGCAGAGGAGAATGGCAGAACTACAAACACCAAATCAGACTGGTCTGCACACTGTGGAGCAGGCAGCAAGTATGTTCTAGCACCTTTTGTCCCAGACTACAAACAGAGAGGGTCACAGCCTACCATTATTTCTCTGCCCCTTCCCCGCCTTCCATGGAAGCTTTCCCTGGATGAAGACTATAAGATTTAGTGCTAACAATGACCCACCCGCATACAGACAGTCACCCCATGAGTCAATACCCCCATTTTACAGGTGGGGACACTGAAGCACAGAGAAGTGATGTGACTTGCTGAAGTTCACACAGTGAGACAGAGCAGGAAACAGAACCCAGTAATCCTGATTCCTAGTGCTGTATACTAGCCACTCAGCTGACAGACATTAACCCCTCGTAGTCTACAAAGGGTCGAAGGCTGGGCCATATGTCTTTGGAAATATAAATTCCCTTGGACATAGAACCCGGATGTCATAGTAATATGCCCATTGTTAATTTACTCAGTCCTCAAACCAAATCTCCACTAGCACGCTTGGGGTACGTCTTCACTACCCACTGGCTCGGCGGGTAGTGATCGATCTATCGGGGATTGATTTATCGCATCTCATCTAGACGCGATAAATTATTCGCCGAATCGACGCCTGGACTCCACCTCGGCAGGAGGAGTAAGCGGAGTCGACGGGGGAGCTGCCGCGGTCGACTCGCTGCCGTGAGGACGGCCAGGTAATTCGCGCTAAGATACTTCGACTTCAGCTATGC